CTTATCCAGTAGTTTGGTAAGAGATGGTTTAATACTTGAGCAGCTAGTCACCAGCGCAGTGCATGCAAACAATTGTGGAGGAGGAAATTATGAGCGAACTTGCTGTTAAAGTAACAAGCAAGCGGGGCGCCTGGGTGGCGCAGTCGGTTAAGCGTCCGACTTCAGCCAGGTCACGATCTCGCGGTCCGTGAGTTCGAGCCCCGCGTCGGGCTCTGGGCTGATGGCTCGGAGCCTGGAGCCTGTTTCCGATTCTGTGTCTCCCTCTCTCTCTGCCCCTCCCCCGTTCATGCTCTGTCTCTCTGTGTCCCCCAAAAAAAAAAAAAAAAAAGTTGAAAAAAATAAAGTAACAAGCAAGCCCAAATTTATATTGTAAAGTAACTTGCTAAACATAAACTTGATCAGTTGGAATGCAAAATGTTTTAAAGAACTATAGTTTTATTAGAGCTTATTAGAACTAGAATTAGGTTAATAGAGGGGACATGCTTTACAATTAATAGGTAATGATGTTTTATGAGCCTGTCAAAGTAGAAACCAAAAGAATTAATTTTAGCTTAAATCATCGTTAATGGTTTTTACAATAAAATGCTGTTTTTCTTTTTTGCTTTTGGTAAGTATTTCCTTCGGTAAATCTTTTTGTCTCAGGTGTTATTGCTTACCAGGATGGTCACAAATTACAGCAAAGGGAGATCTGAGACTCTGAATTTCATTTGTAATACAAACTAATTGCTTAAATATTAGAGAGGAAAGGAAGGAGAGATCAATATGTGATATGTTAGCAAAGGGAAGGGTGGGATGAGGAATTGTGTAGGAGGAGAATGGTGTCCCAAAGTGGAGGCAGGAGGGAATGCAGAGGGATCCCATCATGTGTTCTGCAGTATTCATTGGTAGCTTGTTATGCTAGGTGCTGGGGTGAAAAGTGGAAAGGCCACGTCTTTGCCCTCCTGCAGCCTACATTGTGGGAAAGGAAGCCCCCCCTTCACGTAACATAATGCCGTCTAGTAGCAAAATGCCTGTCTCTTACTTAATTTAGGTTGAACATTATTTTTCCACCACATTTTCACATTTTTAAAAACAACAGCCTTATTAAGATATGATTCACATATCGTGGCATTCATTCTTTTAAGGTATACAACTCAGAGGTTTTAGTTAAAGAAGACCACTATCGCAGTGGTTTTACCAGGGTTCTCTTTGAAGGTCTCTTTTCCAGATCTTTCCCTTAAGATGCCTTCTTCTTTTGGTAAAACATCCTGCTTGTTAGGCTCCACTAATTACCGGCTGATTGTCCTATCCTTTCTATCCAGTGCCCTAGGCTATACCTATCTCAACGGTCTGATCCACTTACAAGCAGGCAGGGGTAGTTTTTGAGGCCACTCTTTGAGGTTTGCTCGGACTGCAGGTGGGCTCTTCTTAAGCTGTCTCTTTCCATGGTTCTTTCTGATCCCCTGTCTGGCTTATGATACAGCTTGTTGGTCTCTATTAAGAGGAGTTATTGTCTTTGAGAGCACCCTTAGGCTTGAACTTGCTCACACTCTGTTTCAAATGAAGTCAGTTTCAAATGAAGTCAGTCCCTTTAGGGAGAGCTTCGGACCTCTCTTTTCTTACAGTCTGCCTCTCCTGGGCAGACTCTCCTAGCCAGTGTTCTGGGTACAGGGCTGAGCAAGCCTGTGGCTTGCTGCTTCTGGTGTCAAACTTAAGTTCTGTGAGCAGACTGGGTTGAGGACGCTTGGAGCTCTAGCATCGCCAGCCTCCTGGACTGCGGTAAAGCTTGTTTTATAGGAGGAAGGCTGTGTGGAGGAAGGCAGCCTCTGCTCTCTTGACCACACTTGCCAGAAATTTAGCCTGCTTGGAGTGGAGGGGGTGAGAAATGCTGGTGGCCTGCCTTGTTTGTGACATAAGGGATAAGCCTTGATTAAGAACTGGGAGGGAGTGGGGCGCCTGGGTGGCTCAACCAGTTAAGCGTCTTAAGTGTCCCACCTTGGCTCGGGTCATGATCTCACGGTTCATAAGTTCAAGCCCCACGTTGGGCTCTGTGCTGACAGCTCAGAGCCTGGAGCCTGCTTTGGAGTCTATGTCTCCCTCTCTCTCAAA